TACCTTAGAAATTAAACAATGTAACATATATTATAAAACTTATATTGTTATAAGTGTTATAACAATATAAGTTTTATAATATGTTACATTGCACCAGCAAAGTTTACAAAGTGGTAAAGACTATTATGTAATTTTTTCACTCTGTCAAAAGTAAGACACCTCCCAAATCTTCCGTTTTTGTTTTGAAGGTTTCTTAAAGACATGATGTGAGGAAGATGTGGGAACTATCTTTAAAGAGAGACGGATTCACTGAAGCACGGAGGAATCTCGCATCGGATTTTGGACTCAATCTCAGCTGCTAAATCTCTGAAGCTAGAACTGGTCGGCTGGAAAACAGCCGATAAATAATATATATTAGGCTATACCTGTTTATAGCTGTTTATGTATATTTATATACATAAACATGTATCTAATATATTATTCAGTATTAATAATTATTTATTTGTGTCATTATTAATCATTATTTGTGTTTGTATATTCATATAAATATGTACTGATATTACAAAAAAAATTATTAAATAAATAATGAATGGTTCTGTGCTTTGTAAAATGCTCATCATACATCAGTATTACATCAATATTAGAATATTCTATTTCTATTCTATTGTTTTCCTCACTAAGCATATTTAAATATTCTGAACTATGTATCAATACAATTAAATAATACAATTGTTTATAAATGTAGCTTTGATAGCTGTTTGAATAAGGTTTTCAGTAACAAAAATGCGTGTTGTGTTCAATTAAATGCGCTGATATGTCATTGTGCCTGCTAAACACATAAGGCTGAGTGGAGCGGTCGACCATTCCAAGATGTCCGTCCTAAATCGCATCAGCTACAACAGGCGAGAGCCTATGTCTATGTGCTCCTCTGCCATGATGTCATCTTCACACCGGGAAACAATTATCTGTTACCCACGGCTTAAGAGAGGCAGATGGCCAGTACTTCGACGCCAGAGTATTAACCAGTGATGCTACCTCTTAGCCCCTCTGAGTTATCTCTGAGTTTCCGTGTTCTTGTGAGCCTTTTGTAATTCCTTTATGTGGCCTGTTTTTTCCTCAGGAGTTTTCAGCATCTTGATCTGGGTCTTGTTCCTGTGTTCCCTAATGACGCCACGGGAAGTTACCTCGTGGATGCCCAAGTTCCCAGACACTCCTGCTACAGGCGTACTTAGGGGGCGTTTACACGACAATGATCCAACAAAAACGGAATTTTTGTTCCGTTTTTGTTGGATCATTTACATGAAAATGTTCTAATTACAATCTTTGTTTACACAGTAACGGTACGCATCGAAAACGTGTAATGGCTCTCGTCACGCCACTAGTTGG